AGTGTTGACATTTACCCCAACTTGTTCTACTAGAACAGGTTTGTATTAAAGTGTTGACATTTTATCAAACTTGTTCTACTAGGACAGGTTTGTATTAAAGTGTTGACATTTACTCCAACTTGTTCTACTAGAACAGGTTTGTATTAAAGTGTTGACATTTTATCAAACTTGTTCTACTAGGACAGGTTTGTATTAAAGTGTTGACATTTACTCCAACTTGTTCTACTAGAACAGGTTTGTATTAAAGTGTTGACATTTACTCCAACTTGTTCTACTAGGACAGGTTTGTATTAAAGTGTTGACATTTTATCAAACTTGTTCTACTAGGACAGGTTTGTATTAAAGTGTTGACATTTACTCCAACTTGTTCTACTAGAACAGGTTTGTATTAAAGTGTTGACATTTTATCAAACTTGTTCTACTAGGACAGGTTTGTATTAAAGTGTTGACATTTTATCAAACTTGTTCTACTAGGACAGGTTTGTATTAAAGTGTTGACATTTACTCCAACTTGTTCTACTAGAACAGGTTTGTATTTAAGTGTTGACATTTACTCCAACTTGTTCTACTAGGACAGGTTTGTATTAAAGTGTTGACATTTACTCCAACTTGTTCTACTAGAACAGGTTTGTATCTAAGTGTTGACATTTTATCAAACTTGTTCTACTAGGACAGGTTTGTATTAAAGTGTTGACATTTTATCAAACTTGTTCTACTAGAACAGGTTTGTATCTAAGTGTTGACATTTACCCCAACTTGTTCTACTAGAACAGATTTGTATCTAAGTGTTGACATTTTATCAAACTTGTTCTACTAGGACAGGTTTGTATTAAAGTGTTGACATTTTATCCAACTTGTTCTACTAGAACAGGTTTGTATTAAAGTGTTGACATTTACTCCAACTTGTTCTACTAGGACAGGTTTGTATTAAAGTGTTGACATTTACTCCAACTTGTTCTACTAGGACAGGTTTGTATTAAAGTGTTGACATTTTATCAAACTTTTTCTCTGTGTAGAGTTGTGTATCGGGTGTGGCTACCTTTATATTGTGGTTGGGGCGGGGCTGATGTTCCGCTACGTCAGTTCATTGCATGGATTAAACCAGACGCTCAAAACACATTTACAAAGTACTTTAGCTTCAACACGTTTCTTGTACGTCTCCTTAGAAACAATATCTATCTCTTTCGCTACCTTATAGGAACATTGTACCCTGGCTTTAGATCTGCACATCCCGAGCATAGTAAAAAATGGAAACAGCCGAGTTTGATCAGTTGGGTTCGACCATTATTCTAGACATGGACAAAAATCGTGTTTTTTGACATTCTTTCCTTCAAAAATTTAAAATTTTAAGAATCAGTAATATAAAAGCTGCAAATGCCGGGAGGGAGCTTGAAAATGTTTGTGTGTGTATAAGTCTGCATTTCTATTTATTTTCATGAAGCATAAGTTATAACCTGAAGATTCCCTTTCGTAAGACAAGTGTTGATTGGCTGTACAGTAACTCGGTGATCGACCTACCTAACTTTGTAGTAATCTGTACTCTAAACTTTGCAGACAAGTTTTTGACAAAACTAAACTTTTTCAAACTACATGACCTAGTTATGCCATGTTTGTTTACATTTTATGTGATAAAATGTAAACAACCAAATTGTTTTTGTATTAATTGATTTTTGTTTAGTTACCAAAAATACCAAAAACATCAGCCACATCCAATCTCCGATAAAGTCTGATAAATAAAACAAACTTAACAATCCGGCTCTTATAAACAACTTATTTTAATTACATCGCACTCGATTTTTGAAATATTCAATTAACCGTTCGAGGCTAGTCACGGCTGCATCTATTAGCTTACAACTTCTCGAACTCTAGCCTTTCCAGCTAATAACCGTTCGCTCTACCCCTCGACCAACCGTTTCCCAAGAAAATATATTTTATATCAACTTTCTATAGAAATGGTTTTTACAGTTGTAGTAGGCCTATTTATCATACATTTCTTGTCTGAGATTAGCACTAGTGTGTGAGCAGTATTTATGACTAACATTTTAATGTATAACTTTGTCTTTTTCTTGAATTTTACTTCCAGTTATAAAAAGGAAATTCTCAACACACTCCTAACGTATTGGGGCTGATAGGCTTTGAACAATGTAAACCGACAAGAACATGAAGAAGTGAGCTAATGATCTGGATCTTAACATCTCTATTGTTGACTATTGGTGTTGCTTCATCATACTCGAACCTATCGTGTTAGCAGATATTAAAGCAGTATTAAATCAAGTATGTAGACAGCTAGATATAGTTGTAGAGATAGACGGCTGTATAGCGTTATATTGAAGCAGATAGTTAGACGGTTGTAGAGTTGTATCGATAGAAGAGCAATGGCCCAGTTAATGCATAGATAGACGGCTGTAGAGTTGTATCGATAGAAGAGCAATATCCCAGTCAGTGTATAGATAGACGGCTGTAGAGTTGTATTGAAGCAGATAGATAGATAGACGGCTGTATCACGTTGTATTGAGGCAGATAAACGGCTGTAGAGTTGTATCGATAGAAGCGCAATGTCCCTGTTAGTGTATAGATAGACGGCTGTATAGCGTTATATTGAAGCAGATAGTTAGACGGTTGTAGAGTTGTATCGATAGAAGAGCAATGTCCCAGTTAGTGTATAGATAGACGGCTGTAGAGTTGTATTGATAGAAGAGTAATGTCCCAGTTAGTGTATAGATAGACGGCTGTAGAGTTGTATCGATAGAAGAGCAATGTCCCAGTTAGTGTATAGATAGACGGCTGTAGAGTTGTATCGATAGAAGAGCAATGTCCCAGTTAGTGTATAGATAGACGGCTGTAGAGTTGTATTGATAGAAGAGCTATGTCCCAGTTAGTGTATAGATAGACGGCTGTAGAGTTGTATCGATAGAAGAGAAATGTCCCAGTTAGTGTATAGATAGACGGCTGTAGAGTTGTATCGATAGAAGAGCTATGTCCCAGTTAGTGTATAGATAGACGGCTATAGAGTTGTATCGATAGAAGAGCAATGTCCCAGTTAGTGTATAGATAGACGGCTGTAGAGTTGTATTGATAGAAGAGCTATGTCCCAGTTAGTGTATAGATAGACGGCTGTAGAGTTGTATTGATAGAAGAGCAATGTCCCAGTTAGTGTATAGATAACAAGCTCCGACCTGTGGTTGGCCGTCACTCGTGGATTTAATGTTTAAAAGCTGAGACCAACGCTGAAGGTTGTCTTAAGATAATGGACAGATTCACTTTGTGAGGCTGGCGTCTCAAGAATGTCAATATACGATACAGTACATAGTCTAGCCCAGTGGTTCTTAAGATAATGGATAGATTCACTTTGTGAGGCTGACGTCTCAAGAATGTCAATATACGATACAGTACATAGTCTAGCCCAGTGGTTCTTAAGATAATGGATAGATTCACTTTGTGAGGCTGACGTCTCAAGAATGTCAATATACGATACAGTACATAGTCTAGCCCAGTGGTTCTTAAGATAATGTGGCATGTTACCCCAGCTAGGAGTTGGGTAGCTGCTGATGGTAACCAATAAATGCAGGGGAAAGTTCACTGCTAAGCAGGCCAGTAAAATAATGGCCATGACAGGAAATAGTGAAGAGCCCCCCTGGACCACTGTATAAGGCTGATGGTGTCACACACTAAGTGACTTATAAAACAAAAACTAAAGTACTCTTAAGATCCATGAGACAGGTGACCTCTATGCCCACCCGCCTTTACTTTCCCCAACGAGAGTCGGGTACCCATCAGAGCCGGGTGGATTCGGGACGTCGCAGACTTGGACCTCTATAGACTTTTGGGTGAGCAGTCGAAAGCTCAACAATTCGACCTCCATCCCCACTACCAAAGCCAGTTACGGTCATACTGAATTGTTACCATTGTGATATATAAGACACTAACATCTTTTCCACGCAGGTTTAGCTGTCTATCCTACTAAGTGCCAAGGCTAAAGTAAGATGTAGCCAATAACCTCCCACTTCTGTTTCACATAGTGTACAGAACAGGCTATACCTATATTTAAATATTTTAATATTTTTTTTTAAATGTATCATTATCTTGAGACTTTTTAAAAAGGTGAAGAAAGAAATTCCAATAAAAGCCAGTCAAATCTTATTTCTGATCACCACACAGTCACGTGGCTTCCCTCGTCATCACCACTGATTACATAACTAACGTACTCATCTTTGTTAAACCAACAAGTCTCTCGTCCAATATTACACTCAATATGTGGTGTCAACATGACATAGATTTTGGTGAATCTGTTGACTCGGGACACTCGTATGTACACTCGTACACTCGGCGTCAATAAATAAACAAAGGGCGGTCATGCTGAGTCGATACACGGGTAAGTCAAGATGGGAGGGGGGGGTGGTACTGTATGTTCTAATTGCATTTATTAAATCTTCAGACTGTTTTATATTATAGTATAGTAGAATAATTTTTACAAGCCATTTTGTTTTACAACTAAAAGTGAAAGTTACAAAGTAAAAGCAATGGACGTCAACAAACAGGTAAATGATTTCGTCATCTTCCTCTAGAACAGCCAAGGTTCCTATTGCTGCCATGTTCTGTCTTATCAGATAAGATTTTCACGGAATGTGGCCAGTAGTTGACATTTTCTACAAAAACCCACACTCATGGATTTTGTTACTATTATTAACTAAGTAAACATATGGTGGACGTGCATCTTTGAGAGACCCATGTTATATGTTCATCAACATACGCTAACATTTATCTAATTTGTTATTTTTAACATTAAATATTCTAATTTCATTAATTTATAATTTTTGTTAATTATCAATTAACTAGTATTTAAAATTTATTTGAAAAATTAATTGATCACATTTAGGTGAGGCTTGGGGCTGAAAGTTTCAAAAATCAAAAAATCAAAACAACGATTGAAAAGAACAGTAAAACTCAACTTGAAAACAAATAAACTCAGCCTTGACAAGGCAAGTGAAATGTGTACTCACGACATGCTTGCTTGTTATGCTGGTGATCCACCGGACGATATCCGTGTGCGACAACTGACTCCGGCCGATACAACCAACTCAATGGCGACAATCAGGTCACACAATCTAGGTCCGTCTACTCTGGTGTAAAGATTTTTTTTTTAATTAACTTACGGCTATCAATTGGGGAAAAAATGTAAACATCTTAGTAGCTGAGATTAAAGTAATAATAACATGTGTAAAGTGAAATTGTTAAAGATAAGGTCATAGATGAGAAAGTTGGTGTAGTTTTCTTTACACAGCGCGCGCTGGTGGGGAGAGAGAGCGCGCAGAGGAGACAATCAGGGAAAATCGGAGTAACTCCGTTCGTGGCAATCTTACAGTCGAAGTGTCTTAAGTGGGGAGGGGGGGTGGCATAAATGCTAACATTTCACCTTGAGAATTTCGAATAGGCCTAATAAATAGAAACGACATGTTGCATAATAAACTAAGATGTTAGCACAACAAAATAAAATAATAAAATAATAAATTATTTTGTCAGTCACCAGTGTATAATTAGGTAGGCCTACGCTGTGGGTAAGTAGGCCTATAACAAATAGCACATTATAACTGTAACTGTATAATTGGACGTGAGAAATAGATAGGACCAGAGGCGTAGCGAGGGGGGGGGGGCGGGGGTGGACCGCACCGGGTGACACCATTTAGGGGGGTGACACCAAGGCAAAAAAAATAGCAAAATATATAGAGAAAAATGATAATTCCACTTAATTAAGTGAATAATTCGAGTGTTAAATAGTCTTTTAAGACGTGCAAATCAAAAGTTTGAGGGGGTGACACCATTAAGTGCCGCACCGGGTGACACCCGACCTCGTTACGCCACTGGATAGGACCAGAGGCGTAGCGAGGAGGGAGCGGGGGGCGGACCACACCGGGTGACACCATATAGGGGGGTGACACCAAGGCAAAAAATAGCAAAATATATAGAGAAAAACTTGAGGGGGGGGTGCAAATCGAAAGGGTCACTACGCCTCTGGGGGTGACAACATTAAGTGCCGCACCGGGTGAAACCCGACCTCGCTACGCCACTGATAGAGATGTATATATAGATCTTGAATATAATCTGACTAAATTGTAAATCTAGACTAGACCAGACTATATAATCTAGTAATTTACTTTAAAGTTGTGGTAGTAGCCAGTACTAGATCTAGATCTAGTAGTAGTTTCTAGATCTAGTATCTAGATCTAGTAGTAAGATTATATTATTCTATTAAATTCTATTTAATAATTATATAGAATCTAGATATAGAACTAGACTAGATCTAGTGTAGTTAGATCAAGCTATAGATCTACTCTAACTTGATTTAAATAATGAATTGAGATCTGGATCTAGATCTAGATATCTAGATTCTAGACTAAAACTCTAGACCAGATATAGATCTAGATTTAGATCTATATAGATAGAAGTGTCTAGATTCTAGATCTAGAATTCTAAATCTAGAATTACGAATTAGATCTAGATCTAGATTCTAGACTCAAGATCTAGAAATCTAGATCTATAATCTAATTATATATATGATATATGTGTAATATATAACAGATCTATTCTAGATCTAGATCAAGTAGTAAATCATATTTTAGAATAATCTACTAGATCTAGATCTATAGAATCTACTAGATCTAGAATCTACTAGAATCTAGATCTACCAGAATCTAGAGTCTAAGAGTCTAGATCTAGTCTTGACTCTAGACCTAGATCTATATCTATCTAGATCTAGATCTAGATTCTATATCTAATATCTAGAATCTAGATCTAGATCAGACTAGATCTAGATTCTACCTCTAGTTCTAGATTCTAGATCTAGCATTCTAGTCTATCTAATCTAGATCTAGATCTATATTCTAGATCTAGTATCTAGCTAACCCTAGCTAGAATCTAGATCTAGTCTAGTCTAGAATCTAGATTCTAGATTCTAGATCTAGATTTAGATCTAGATTCTAGAATCTTTCAGCTGGACTAATGTGAAATCTAGAGATTTTTTCCTAGGGTCAGGGCCTCTAGAATCTAAGTCTAGATAGTTCTAGATCTAGAATCTAGATCTAGATCTAGACTAGATCTAGATATCTAGATCTAGAATCTAGATTAGATATCTAGATTCTAGAGCTAGATCTAGATCTAGAATCTAGATCTAGATTAGATCTAGAAAATCTAGTCTAGATCTAGCTACTGCTAGATCTAGATCTAGAAGATCTAGATTCTAGAATCTAGATCTATATTTAATTATTTATTCAAATTAATGAAAAGAATGTAATGCTTACCTGTATTTGTTCTAATCCAAAGAATTTTTCAAATAACGAAATTAGACTGAGCATCATTCACACAAGCCTACAGGAAATCACCCGGAAAGGACCAGGTTTTTAAAAATAGGTAGGCCTAAGGCCCTAAGCTGTGAATAATACTAGATCTATACTGAGTTATATTCAAGCAACTCATCATTACTATGGGCTATACTTTTTTCATTAATAAAATTAACGTCAATTTTTTAAATGATTGTTCATGAATAAATAATTAACCGATTCGCGCATTATCCTATGGACTGACTAAATAGTTATTTGGAACTTTTGCCACACAAAATGCATTATGGCAACCATGCAGTGACGTAACAGATCTGCTAGGGGCCGTAATGTCCATGGGATTAAAAGACAGGGGCGCCCTTACCACCGAAACACAGGCAGTAGGTCTACTTTGTGGTAGACAGAGCGGCAGATTTCTCTTGCTGCAAATCTACATGTTTTTAATTCGAAATGCACGGTTTATTTCATTATTTTGGTCCAATACTTATTAAAAGAACTGTCTCATTATTAAAACAAGTTAATAAAAAGTCTAGTGACAATTTAAGCGCACTTTCCTTATGTTATCTAAAAATAGATAGTGATCAAGTTTGTTTTTAAAAAATGTGAAAAAATGATTAGGCCTAGCGAAACAAAACCTTGTAATTGTAACTCCCTATCACTCTCATATAAATTATAAATAAATTAATAGGGTACAAAAATAACGTTTGAATTAATAGGTAAAAATTAAACTTATAGCAAGATCTAAAAGACAGCGAAAAATAGATTATTTTGACACATCCCTTTCCCCATAGATCTATATCTATATATTGCTATATAGTACTGTAGTGTATTATGTTCATAACCCGTAGCTCTGTCGTAGCGTAAAGCACACACGGGGACAAAACACAAGACGTATAATGCTGGGGTGCGTTCAAGCTAGGAGAACGATCGGTTTGTAGGTGTTAATGTAATTTTTTTTTATTTTGTGACCGAACGAAAATATATTTTTGAAAACTTTCTTCGGCAATATTGTTCAAAATTATGGCAGGAATCGATTGGTAAATGTTTCAAGTCGCTAAGTTGTCTGGTTGCCGAGATATGGGACAAAAACTGCATTTTTTCGATGTTTTTTTTGGCTTTTCCGGGAAAACCAGGAAGGAATTCCGGGAATTGTTTTTGGCCCACAATCATCCTCGGAACTTGCTTAACATATTTGCTTTGGAACTAGTCCTCGATATTGCTTCATTGAGGAGGAGATACGACTTAAAGCTGCGGACACACATCCATCCATCCATCCATCCATTCATTCATTCATCCATCCAGAAATGACGAGTTAATAATCGCAATTGTCCGTATGGAAATTGCGCTAAAAAAGATTGAATTTCGCTTCTATAATTAAAGTTAGGCTGAAATCCTTGTACGGAAAGTGTGAGGTAAAACGTGTGATTTATGATGGAGATTTCTAGACCATTCATGTAACATTGTAAGAGATAAACTGAAACATGACAAAACGAAGGTCATTTCCACTGGCACACAAGGTCACGTGTGGGCAACATCTTGACGTCATAGTGACATCACAGATAGGTAATTCTTGAAAACAGTGAGTGCTTTGTTTTAATACCAACATCAATTTTATTATAGGTCTATAATGGGTAAATGTGTTGGGTGTGGATTATGTGGGGCATATGTGTTGGTGTGGATTATATGGGGTCTGTGTGTTGGTGTGGATTATATGGGGTCTATGTGTTGGGTGTGGATTATATGGGACCTGTGTGTTGGGTGTGGATTATATGGGGTCTATGTGTTGGGTGTGGATTATATGGGACCTGTGTGTTGGGTGTGGATTATATGGGGTCTATGTGTTGGGTGTGGATTATATGGGGTCTATGTGTTGGGTGTGGATTATATGTTGCCTGTATGTTGGGTGTGGATTATATGGGGTCTGTGTGTTGGTGTGGATTATATGGGGTCTGTGTGTTGGGTGTGGATTATATGGGGTCTGTGTGTTGGTGTGGATTATATGGGGTCTGTGTGTTGGTGTGGATTATATGGGGTCTGTGTGTTGGGTGTGGATTATTTGGGTCTGTGTGTTGGGTGTGGATTATATGGGACCTGTGTGTTGGGTGTGGATTATATGGGACCTGTGTGTTGGGTGTGGATTATATGGGGTCTATGTGTTGGGTGTGGATTATATGGGACCTGTGTGTTGGGTGTGGATTATATGGGACCTGTGTGTTGGGTGTGGATTATATGGGACCTGTGTGTTGGGTGTGGATTATATGGGGTCTATGTGTTGGGTGTGGAGTATATGGGGTCTGTGTGTTGGTGTGGATTATAGGGGGTCTGTGTGTTGGGTGTGGATTATATGAAATCTCTGTGTTGGTATGGAGTAGATGGTTTTGTTTTTGTTTTAGATCGTAGGACTTTAAAATGCTAGTGTTAGAAAAAATCATTCTGAATATCAAACTTTCAAATGTATCGGTTGTGACTGAATTATTTTAATTTTAGCCAACATCAGTTTAGTTTAATTAAAATCATCCCAGAAGCGATGATTAATTAAGCATGAAATAAAACACTAAAAGACCATACTGATTCCGCTTTAACACCACATAAGCAGTGCTTATTATAGTGACGTCATCAGTTTTGGGGTACATTTATTTTCCAAGCACCTCGTTCTGCCTTCCATGCCGCGTCATTAATTTCAAAGATAATCAGCGATATCAGCATTTGTTGAAAGTAAAACGTGTTGATGTTATATTAGGTGCTTTCATTGCAGAACTGTGCAGTACGCGTGTATAAATGAGCCAGACGGTGATTAAGGTAATGTGCGTCAGTTGCAAGCGGCACGTTGCTTCGTCGTTACGCAAGACCTTGACCTATTATAACGACCTTTGACACTAGAATAACCCCCATATTTTTTCAAGGGCGGTAACTTTATTGTGCGTGGTGATTTATGTTGTTGTATAGTTTACTGGGGTTTATTTATTTATTTTTGCTCAGTTTTTTAACGAAAAAAAAAATTCTTTTAAGATGAATCTTGGCTCTTCTATTTCGTTCTTAATTGTGAATTGAGTATTTTGTGTCAACAATCTATGCGCCATTGGGTCTGTTGACTTCGATTTTAGTCTGCTTTTCTATCTGGATTTACTTATATTATAGGCACAACAATTATTGTTTTTGTTATATAGTTACATGAGGTTGAAAGATTTAAATTAGTACTTAGTACTGGTAGTTTTATCTAATGACACGCGCTTTGTAAATATAATTAATTAATTAATCGGATGTTCGCATCCATCCTAAGCCGTGAAAAATGTGAAGAATGTCTGAGAAAAACAAGATTTGAACCTGATGGCGGATGAACGATGTCCACTGTGGCCGGTTGGTTCAAGGCAACCTGGCACATACAAACCTGCTATCTCGCGGGTCAGAGGTCACGTCTGCCAAGTCCATGTGAGAAGATGGTTCTATCAGGGACAGAGTTCCGGTACTTTGAATGTCAACAATACAAATTCAGTTAGCCTATAGAAGAGATCCCAAGAATAGCAAACAAAACAAAAAATGGCAGCTGATTTCTAAAAAATCTGGCATTTCAAGTCTGTGACGTGTGTAGTCAAATCTTAGAATTAGGCCGGTAATAACTTGAAAACGAGAGGTAGAAACATGACTTTAATACACAAATGTTGATTGCCCCACCCCCTTTCGCTATAAGATGTAAAATATTGTGCCCCAGTACCGCCCCCCCCCCCCTGGAGTGGTCTAGCGGTAGAGAGCTGGACTGCTAACCCGTAAGTCTCGAATTCGAATCCGGGTTCAAGTCCGTACAACGCCCCTGAGTCCACCCAACTCTGATGGGTACCTAACGCACGTTAGGGAAAGTAAAGGCGGCTGGGCATAGTGCTGACCACACTATCTCTTCATATGCCGAGGTCACAGAAACAAGTGAACTCTCCTTCACTTGCCCTATAGACCGTCAGGTTTGAAAAGGGAACTTTACTTTACTTAGTGCTCCCACCCCCCAACATAGATACGATGCCCTTCCATTATATTAGTGCCCTAGCTATGGTGAACCCAATCCACCTAACGATGATGCCTTGCAACAATACCCAACACAGATGCCCCCACCTCCCGGGAGTGTTTTAAGGCGCCCCCTCCCCTCCGGAAAATTCAAGAAACCCCGGAGAGAAAAAAATGTTTGAAAGAAACCCTGTATCTAACCTCATTAGCCTCCACTTTCCGCTCCCTCTATGAAACCACCAATCCCTTTAGCCGTTTCCACAATCTACCCCCCCCCCCCCCCCCCCCCAGCATTTCAGCGCTCACAAAACCTCTGTTAGCCATGTTGACAGGTTTCAATATTTTCCCTGGCTATCGGTCGAGTAATACACTGACGTCACTGTTTCTGCGTGAATGCTCATTCATTGTGTCTGCTCGGCCCGTTTCCGGTTGAACACGTGGGCTCGCCACCCCGCCTCAACGTCGATAACATCCGCTTTGATATTGTCAAACCAAATAAATAAATATTCGTTTTTTAAATTATCTAGGCTCCTATATGCTTTCAATGGGACTCTCTTGTTTTATTCATAGCCACGAACTTCACGTTTAACATTTTAATGTTATTACAGCGTGTGATCATACGTTCATTATTTTATTTAGGCTATCCTCCATCGAGTTGAGCTAAAACTAAAATGCATATATTTCTCTCTTGGGGGTGGGGAAGGGTGATTGAAACTTTCGGGGAGGGGTCGACACTGGTAGGATATATATTATTTTTAAATTTAAATTAGATATTTCTTTATTTCGTTCAGGCTGGTAGGGGGGGGGGGGGGGGGGACACGAGACCAGAGATCGATGAAACTGTACAAAACGTGAATCGCATCCAAGATTCTTTTTTATATGGAGAAACCATATTTAATTTTAAACTGCTATTGCTTGTACCAGTACACTTGGACTAAAGTTTAATTGCCTTTTTTTTATCAGACCAGTGATGGGTTAACACGGATGATAATGAACGCTAGACACAGAAATGGCGTCTTCTGATTGGTTTAAAATCGATCTCTTACGATCTATAAACTTGGCACAAATGTGTGTGGCCCGTACCGTCGAAGAAAAAAGTTGCATTCGATCTAGTTTGTGACAGACAGCATGTAGACCTATTGCTGAAGCATTTGCGTACACATTTTACATTAATTTGTATTGGAATCTAAATATAACTTTATATTTCTTTTATAAACGCACAATTTTGAAAGTGTATGATTTAAAAAAAAAAAAATTAAACAGAGCAGCAGTCTAGTTTCATATTTTCTGTGTATTTTAATAACGTTACAGGTCAATTTTAATATTCAGCACATGCATAAAAAAATTACATTTTATCGGTTGTTTCCCTTGCTGTATCCTTGTGTAACAAATTATTAGAACAACTTTCAGGAATTTCTCCTGCGCGTGTCCCACAGTACCCCCCACCCCCACAGAGGGAAAAAATGAAAATAAATAAACAAAAATATGCCTTTACATCATTTAGCTCTGAATTTGGCCATAACTTAAAGGATTTTTATTCCAAATGTGGTCATATTTGTTTAGACAATTTAATTTAATTAATTTTGCTCCAAATGTAGTAATTCCACTTATTATTTAACTCTTTAACCCCAGCTGCATATCAATATTTGTAATACAAATAGAACACACGTTAATTGGACAGATGATTTATTTGAACAAATAAACAAATATGAAAGAATATATAAAAATATCTGTGATTGTATTTTGATGAGACCAGAGATGAAGACACAATCATTTTGATTAGGTAATGCAGGTAAAATATAAAAAGTAATCAAGAGTTATGTGCTCTTAGTAATGCTAGACCAGGTCTCACGACATTTAGTTTGTAAAAATGTTGGAATCAATGTACATTAGGGAATGAAAGTATTGAGGAAATCCAGTTGCACAATTAAATTAACAGAAAATAAATCTAGACTGGACAAAAATAAAACAATTTGTATTCAATTAATGTTATATTTCTCAAAGTAGCATTTATAATTTTTTTTAAGTATGATGTTTGTAAAAGTGTATCTTGAATCAAAATTTTCTTTTTAATTGAAGAAAAAAAAAAGAACATGTTTACAAAGATTTGTTTTATTAATAAAAAACAGCACCAAAACAGCCTAGACTTGTTTTGTGCCCACACGTATGAAATCCAGAGACAAACATGGGACAAAATATTCTCAAATGAATGTCAGCCACACCAGTGAAATTCATTCAAACATTTTCAAATTAGACTCAAACACAGCTGAACATCCACAATATGGAAAACCTTCTTACCAACACAACAAAAACAGTCCAACATTTGAAGTCAACAATATTCATGCAATATAATGTTTTTACTAATTACAGTTCATCATCAATGATTTATATTTAATCAGTAACAAATTCAAATTAGATAAAAGATAAACTACAAAACATTTTTTTTTACATTTTATAAAAAAAGAAACAGGTATAGATCTACATGTTTTAGAATGTATTTTCTTTTATAAGTAAACCAGATTCTAAGTTTTTGGGAAAATTATTTTACCCTGTAAAATATTTTTCAGCATTTTTACAATCTACTTCATAAAACTAAATAATGAAAAGCAACAGGCAATGAATAAATGGATTAAGTACAGTCCTAGAAATTATGTTTTACATCTACATTTTGTAAATCATAAAAATTTTAAAAAGGTACAAAAATTAAAACCTGATTGTGACAGTTCACAAAAACAGTAAAAAATTGGTCCACGGATCTGGAATGAGGACAGTTGAGCTTCGTTCTATTTGTGGATTTTAACAATTTAAAAATACTTCAGTGGAATGTTGCTCTACTTAGAAACATTTTTAACTTGGCTCATTACAAATTTGAATGTATTTGAATGTATGGGAAATGTTGACGGAAAAATTCATAATTTCTGAAAATTGGAATGACAGAATAACATGAGAGATAACAGATAACTGGCCTGTCCAGAAATTACAGGTGGGTAGATGTGATGAGTGAGTAATAAATACATGAATTTATTCATGGGTGAGTGAGACGCACAGAGGATGATCAGGTGATTGACAGAGACTAGATATTAAACACCAAGTTTGTTAAGTCACTAGACCATAACATACATTCTTGACCTACGCAACTTTTGATTTTTTTTTTGTCTGATATACTAAAAAATCTTACCTCCTTTCGCAACTTCAGAAAGACTGATTAAAAAGCAACTGATTACTAAATTGAAAAACTAAATAATCAAAATGCATTAGAAAATGATAAATAGGAGTATTTGACATGTGAAATTGTATCTACAACGTAAGGATTTTCTAGTGTCACTTAAAAGTTACAAAATTTGTAGGACAATTAATGTAATAAGATAAATCTGTTCTATACACTTAAAATTAGTGAACTTTTTAACTACTTTACACTAAAACTTTTAAACTAACTACATACAAAAGCTCAAATAATGCCTTAGAACTATCAATGAACTCAAAATGGTGCAGAAGAAATTCTCTAAAAAAATCTTAATCCTCTGTAGCAAGACATTGGCAGTGAAAATTAAAACGTTCTAACCTTTAAATGAAAACATTGTTCTAACCTTTAAATGAAAAAATTGTTCTAAGCTTTATTTAAATTAAAGCATTGTTCTAACCTATATTTAAATTAAAACGTTTTTTGTATCTACATTTAATTTTTTTTAACAATTTATATTGAAAAATTTTCTGTCAAGCTGAAGACATTGTTTTACACAAGTGCAGCTTGGCATACTGAATACAAGTTTTTAGAAAAAAAAAATTGTGTCTTCTTACAATTCTTTTATTGCACCCTTTAATGACAGCTGCGTGTCCAGTCATAGGCAAGTCTAAGGCTGACCGCTGTCCATCCATTCAATGACTGACAGCTCTATGTCCATTCCATGGTAGCAGTATGTCCAATTAATTAAATCTATGACAATGGCATTTTGTTCCCTATTGCATATTTAAAATGTGACAAAAAATCTATTTATACAGACACCATAATTGCTACTGGTGTATAAAAAAATGTTACAACATTTACAACCAAAAATGTTACAAGAATGTGTATGAGAAAAACTTTAAAAAAAAAAATAAAATAACATTTGAAATTTGCAAGGCAACATACAAATATATTATTTCTTATAACAAAACCCTTTACCTATACAAAAAAAAATGTCCACCACATTTTGTAATTATTCAATGGATATTTACACAAATGAGAGGGAAGGTCACTTAGGCTTTACAACATTTGATTAACATTCTGTCTTTTAAAATGAAGACGCTAGGCACCATCAAAATGTGAACCAGAGTATTATGTTCTAAATTAATGGTAATGTAAAGTTCAGCAGTTTCAAACACCTGAAAAACTAAGGCACTATGGGTAATATATGCTGCAGTATAAAATATGGATCAGGAAGATTGTCAACTTTTTATTTAACTTTAACAGTGAAATTTCATGTTATCGCAAAAGGACTGTACAAATTTTGATTTAACAATGAAATTTCATGTTTTCGGAAGAAGATTGTACAAGTTTTGATTCAGCATCGCAATTTGATGTAGTCACAACCTTTGGCTATTTGAAAACTTGATAAAACAAGAATCTGAATTAATTATTTGTTACACTAATCATGGACAAGACATCCAAAATTTGAGTTGTTCTAGTGGTCAGTTAAGTAACTAATTACTAATTGGTCAGCGGCTTATTTTAAACATCAACCAGGTGACCAGTCAACCAAGTTGCCAGTTAATAGGTGACTAATTAACCAGGCAGGTTACCAATTAAACAGTTAATAGGTGATTAATTAACAGTGACCAGTTAGCCAGCTGACTCATTAAATAGGTGGTTTATTGTGTTTTGATTGTCACTCTAATAAAATTATAATTGAATGCCAGTCTATTTAATGCCTGAGAATTAAACAACTGAGATGTAGGTTTAGCCTAGACTAGATAGGTTAGGTTTAAAATTGATCAGCCCTGAAGCTAGAAAAAATCTCTCACAGAAATGCCCACTAAACTAATTGCAAGAATAATGCCGAGGTTGAAGACAGGATACAAGACAGGCACTAGCTGTCTCAACTTTAAATATTAAACCTAATTGATTTGTGCCTTGCTAAATTGTTTGAATCAAACCACTACGTTTTTTGTGCACAGAATGACATTTAGCTGTAGCTAAGCTACTTTTAAAATCTAAAGTATAAAAGCCATGGACTATTTTGGATTCAGCGCTTCTCTTTCTTTATCTGAGACTGGAAGAGTTGAAGCGTCAAATGCGGGCGGCTCTTCCTCGTCACGCTTCATCCGCTTGTTTTTGTACAGCTTCCACAGTTTATCCACAAGATCCATGGCCACAAGATCGGTTGAGTTTTTAGCTATGACGCGGATCACGAAAACCCCGTCATCTCGAAGGTACTCGTCAGCAAACTTTTGACACAGCTTCTTGTCAAAACCTGACTGGATTTCGTTGTTGATCTTCAAGTATTTTTTGATGTAGCCTGCGCGGTTTCTCTTGAAGATGACTCGATACAACCAGCTGGAAATAAACGGTAACGCCTTGTGTTAGTTGTGACTAGACTACATTGTAAAAGGTGGAAATTTTTAAAATGCAATATTTTATAAATGGGTAATAACCAATAAATTCAATACTCTACAACTCAATAATTCTAATAATTTTTTTATATGTCTTATGTCTATATTTTGATTACTGAGGATTAAGATGATTAATTATAAAATTATAATACTTTTTAGAATATGTTTTAATGAATGGGATGTTTGATTACAGGCACAAAATGTCTTGTGTTACTTGAGTGCTACTTTCAAATAATTGTTTACATGAATGATGTTAGAACTACTAATTACAGCTGAACTATTTCAGCTCAAAGACTGAAAATTTAAATATTTCACTTGCATCACATAACAAATGGTTTGTGGACCTGCTCAACTACTCAACTAATGCCATGAAACATCTGCTGACCAGCTTTTTAATTGACTATTTGTCTCTAAACTTTGTAAAAAATTTGAATGCAAGATCTGCCTTATAAAGCAGAGAGTGCACCCAGACAACTTGGGACCTTATTCAGGGAAGACCTGGTGGTCTGAACACATTTTTTTATACTTCCTGCTTCTCTAGAATTGTTTTTTTTTTAGTGTATCAAACATGCAATCAGATGAGCATCTTTAGATACACTGACTGTACTATGACGTCACCTAGATGAACTAATTAAACCAAAAGGTCACCCACCTGACTAGATTGATGCAGGTCAGTGTGGCCACAAAGACAAGCCAGAACCAGATGACGATGAAGATTTTCTCGTTGAACAGGTTGATGGGCAGGACGCACTGGACGGTCCACGTCTGTACGTTCTGTAGCTGTCTGATCTTGAAGTCACACAGGGTGACACGGGGGAAGCGTGTAGACTCCTTCCACTCACTGTTACTGGAGCCGAGCATCTCTAGAACCTGAGCAAAGTTTACACCATTAGCTCATGCCAACATCTCTAGAACCTGAGCAAAGTTTACACCATTAGCTCATGCCAGCATCTCTAGAACCTGAGCAAAGTTTACACCATTAGCTCATGCCAACATCTCTAGAACATGAGCAAAGTTTATACCATTAGCTCATGCCAACATCTCTAGAACATGAGCAAAGTTTACACCATTAGCTCATGCCAACATCTCTAGAACATGAGCAAAGTTTATACCATTAGCTCATGCCAACATCTCTAGAACATGAGCAAAGTTTATACCATTAGCTCATGCCAACATCTCTAGAACATGAGCAAAGTTTACAACATTAGCTCATGCTGTCTAGAACCTGAGCAAAGTTTACACCATTAGCTCATGCCAACATCTCTAGAACCTGAGCAAAGTTTACACCATTAGCTCATGCCAACATCTCTAGAACCTGAGCAAAGTTTACACCATTAGCTCATGCCAACATCTCTAGAACCTGAGCAAAGTTTACACCATTAGCTCATGCCAACATCTCTAGAACATGAGCAAAGTTTACACCATTAGCTCATGCCAACATCTCTAGAACCTGAGCAAAGTTTACACCATTAGCTCATGCCAACATCTCTAGAACCTGAGCAAAGTTTACACCATTAGCTCATGCCAACATCTCTAGAACATGAGCAAAGTTTACACCATTAGCTCATGCCAACATCTCTAGAACCTGAGCAAAGTTTACACCATTAGCTCATGCCAACATCTCTAGAACCTGAGCAAAGTTTACACCATTAGCTCATGCCAACATCTCTAGAACCTGAGCAAAGTTTACACCATTAGCTCATGCCAACATCTCTAGAACCTGAGCAAAGTTTACACCATTAGCTCATGCCAACATCTCTAGAACCTGAGCAAAGTTTATACCATTAGCTCATGCCAACATCTCTAGAACCTGAGCAAAGTTTACACCATTAGCTCATGCCAACATCTCTAGAACCTGAGCAAAGTTTACACCATTAGCTCATGCCAACATCTCTAGAACCTGAGCAAAGTTTACACCATTAGTTCATGCTGTCTAGAACCTGAGCAAAGTTTACACCATTAGCTCATGCCAGCATCTCTAGAACCTGAGCAAAGTTTACACCATTAGCTCATGCCAACATCTCTAGAACATGAGCAAAGTTTACACCATTAGCTCATGCCAACATCTCTAGAACCTGAGCAAAGTTTACACCATTAGCTCATGCCAACATCTCTAGAACCTGAGCAAAGTTTACACCATTAGCTCATGCCAACATCTCTAGAACCTGAGCAAAGTTTATACCATTAGCTCATGCCAACATCTCTAGAACATGAGCAAAGTTTACACCATTAGCTCATGCCAACATCTCTAGAACCTGAGCAAAGTTTACACCATTAGCTCATGCCAGCATCTCTAGAACCTGAGCAAAGTTTACACCATTAGCTCATGCCAACATCTCTAGAACCTGAGCAAAGTTTACACCATTAGCTCATGCCAGCATCTCTAGAACCTGAGCAAAGTTTACACCATTAGCTCATGCCAACATCTCTAGAACATGAGCAAAGTTTATACCATTAGCTCATGCCAACATCTCTAGAACATGAGCAAAGTTTACACCATTAGCTCATGCCAACATCTCTAGAACATGAGCAAAGTTTATACCATTAGCTCATGCCAACATCTCTAGAACATGAGCAAAGTTTATACCATTAGCTCATGCCAACATCTCTAGAACATGAGCAAAGTTTACAACATTAGCTCATGCTGTCTAGAACCTGAGCAAAGTTTACACCATTAGCTCATGCCAACATCTCTAGAACCTGAGCAAAGTTTACACCATTAGCTCCTGCCAACATCTCTAGAACCTGAGCAAAGTTTACACCATTAGCTCATGCCAACATCTCTAGAACCTGAGTAAAGTTTACACCATTAGCTCATGCCAACATCTCTAGAACCTGAGTAAAGTTTACACCATTAGCTCATGCCAACATCTCTAGAACATGAGCAAAGTTTATACCATTAGCTCATGCCAACATCTCTAGAACCTGAGCAAAGTTTACAACATTAGCTCATGCCAACATCTCTAGAACCTGAGTAAAGTTTACACCATTAGCTCATGCCAACATCTCTAGAACCTGAGCAAAGTTTACACCATTAGCTCATGCCAACATCTCTAGAACCTGAATGCTGACCACTTTGTCCCCTCATCTGCACCTCATCTGACCCATGTACTGACCAGTTAAAGTGTAACTACATAAATCTCTTAGTTTTCTTATATCTCTGATGCCAAAACAAGGCAATTAAATCGTGTCAATTTCCTGGTTATTTTTTTTTTAAGTTTATCCATCAGCGTATCATATTTTCTGACTAGCAAGCAGACAAATGTCTTGTTATATTACATTTATTTAAAGCAAAAAAATAATAATTTTAATTTAAAGTTAATATACAAAATGGATTTGTTTTTCAAAAAATAATTTGACAAGTCAAAAATGTCAGTATAATTAACAGGCCAATTTTTTTAATAAGCGTGAAGAGATTAAAACCAAACCTACCTCGAAACCATAGAGGTTGTAGTCCTGAGAGAGGAAGGCGTTGAGAATAAAAAACTGGGCGATGACATTGGCGGAGTAGACGACCTTGATGAACAGGTAAAATGCTGTCAGGTAAGTTCCGGCACGCTTGTTGCAGAAAAAGCAGCAAATTTTGGCCAGGAATTGTTTGGCCCTGACCAGTCGGTTCCAGTGGTACTCCCTGTGTGTCTCCAGCCATCTGCAGGCACAAACACAGGCGGTCACGGTTGGTCTAATTAATTGACGGTTGGTCAAATTCAGTCACGGTTGGTCAAATTCAGTCACGGTTGGTCAAATTCAGTCACGGTTGGTCAAATTCAGTCACGGTTGGTCAAATTCAGTCATTTTTTGTCAAATTCAATCATTTTTTGTCAAATTCAGTCACGGTTGGTCAAATTCAGTCACGGTTGGTCATTTTTGGTCAAGTTCAGTCATTTTTTGTCAAATTCAGTCATTTATAGTTGAATTCAGTGGTTTTTGGTTGAATTCAGTAAATTTTTTTTGTCTAATTCAGTCATTTTTAGTCAAATTCAGTCATTTAGTTGAATTCAATCATTTTTGGTTGAATTCAGTAAAAAATTTTTTAGTCAAATTCAGTCACGGTTGGTCCAATTCAGTCATTTTTTGGTCCAATTCAGTCATTTTTGGTCCAATTCAGTCATTTTTGGTCCAATTCAGTCATTTTTGGTCCAATTCAGTCATTTTTGGTCCAATTCAGTCAGTTCTACTCAAGTTAAGTGTTTTATCCATGATCATATAAATAAGTTTGTAAAAAAAAATGTGACAAATGTTTACTGCTAATTTAAAAGTAATTTGTTTCCATGTTTAAAGGTAGTACCACACTATTTATTATTCTCAAACGCTATCCGCATACATCATAGATCTAAGCAATATACAGATCATGTTAGAATTGTTTATAAAACCAGTTTATATTGTTGACCTGTCCATATATTTAGAGATGTGGTCTTGTTATACAGATTATGTTATATTGACTGACCTGTCCATATATTTAGAGATGTGGTCTTTGTCATACAGATTATGTTATGTTGACTGACCTGTCCATATATTTAGAGATGTGGTCTTGTCATACAGATTATGTTATATTGACTGACCTGTCCATATATTTAGAGATGTGGTCTTGTCATACAGATTATGTTATACTGACTGACCTGTCCATATATTTAGAGATGTGGTCTTGTCATACAGATTATGTTATGTTGACTGACCTGTCCATATATTTAGAGATGTGGTCTTGTCATACAGATTAAGTTATATTGACTGACCTGTCCATATATTTAGAGATGTGGTCTTGTCATACAGATTATGTTATATTGACTGACCTGTCCATATATTTAGAGATGTGGTCTTGTCATACAGATTATGTTATATAGACTGACCTGTCCATATATTTAGAGATGTGGTCAATGGTCTTGTCCCGGTCATCGGGTGATCCGAGCTGGGTTTTCTCTGCCATGTCCACTATTTTGTCCAAGTTTATGCCAGACCCACCATTAAACAGGCGCCACAGGATATTGGGGAACTTGAACATGAAGGCCTGGAACATAGGGAACAAAATCTGAACACAGGGAACAATCAAAGGCAAGAACAGAGGGAACAATCAAAGGCAAGAACACAGGGAACAATCAAAATCTGAACACAGGGAACAAAGGCAAGAACACAGGGAACAATCAAAATCTGAACAGAGGGAACAATCAAAATGATAGACAAGTAACAGATACTTGAACCTAAACAGGAAGATATCAAAAACCTAAACGGGAACATATCAAAATCAAACAAACACAAAATACCTTTAATTTCAATATCTATGGTACTTGTAAGTGTTGTACAAGACTGGTAACCACAATAATGAAGTAAATCATCAGCCCATAACGTGAGCCATTTATGTCACACATCAGTACTCACCATGAAGAGGAGGATGAGTGGCACCCACTGGTAGTACGTCAGCTCCTCTGACTCCCTGTTAGAGTGCTCCACAGGGATGGGCGTGTCCATGGGGATGTAGTACGTGTTCTTGATCCAACAGTAGCTCTTGGCGTAGTCCACATAGGCGCCAGTGAACTCTGCGGGGCACCAGCAGTGGATGGGGTCACCCACAAACTGACCGGTGCTGACCACAATGGCGAACAGAGCCAGAAGAAAGACTGTCCATACATGGTTTAGCCTGTCCACCCAGTCGTCGTTACTTGCTCCTTGAAGTTTTTTGAGTGACGGCACGCCGCCTATAATAGCCCCGATAGACCTGTGGTCATAAATAAATCATCATTTAGGAGCCTGGCGGTGACTGGCTATTGCTAGTATTGTACAGATTTACTTAGATTTATTTCAAGATTTGGGACAAAAGATCATGAACAAAAGAATACAGAAATAAAAACTTAAAATTTAAATGAAAAAAAAAATGGCTTATAAATATTTTGTTTTGAATACTTAAAGTTGAATCATAAACCACTGCTACATCAAATTTGTTCCTCCTGATTTTCAGTGTTCACTTACCGTCTGTCATTGCATGCAACTTAAGTTGTAATTGCTAAGCCCTCCTAGAAAAATTATATTAACCATTTTCTTCTGCACAATTGTGAATATAATTTGTTATACTGTAAAATATAATTTAATAATATTGTGCTTTCATTTCTTTTTAAGTCCAAGATCAATCGTATTTTATCTTAACTTTTTTTTAACTACTGGTCCCATGGGACGTAACAAATTTATTCAGGCTACGATTATGTCCCCTATACCTGGGATATCCGGAAAGCGATAATGAAAGTTGCAATACAACGAACGTATAGGCTTATAATATTAATGAGATTCTAAAATAATGTCTAATGTAAAAACCATTGGGCTACGCCCACAGGCCTCAAAATTTCTGAACCACCGCCATGAAGATAAAGACAATCTACTTTAATGTCTGATGTATGTATAAAATATGAAGACAGGTTTAGATAACTCGAGAAACTAAGGTCACGCATGGGGTCACCATGTCCTTGCACTGTAAGACTCTACGTCTGTCAACAACGCTAACGTAACGTAGGCAGGGGGAAGGGGAAGTCACTCCAACCTCCCAACACCAAACAAGACGCTAGACCTAATTTATGACGGCCATCTTGGTCGACATGGCGGATGTCATGCCATCATGGTCGACATGACATAAGGCACATAGACGTACGTCTGCTAAATTGGGCAGTAGATCTAAATTTATTTTTAATTGGCTCGCTAAAGGTCACCGACAATGACGAGAGTAATTTCCTTGCAATGATTGCTACCTCGTACCTCAGTGCTACCGGCTACCTAGAGCCTTGATGCGACCTAGAGCCTCAGTGCTACCGGCTACCTAGAGCCTCGATGCGACCTAGAGCCTCAGTGCTACCTGTCACACACAGAACCGTTGGAACCCTCAGCCCCAACCTATGCGCCTTCTTAATTTATAGATCAGCCCAAGAAGTCGTAAACCCATTCCCAGCTTAATGGCCTATTGTTTCATGCACGTTGGAGTGGCGCCTCCCAGCCAGAGGAGTTGAAGTTTATACCACAATAAAACACAGGCAAACAATGGACGGCAGGTTGATTTAAATTTGGTTTTAAAACAATAAAAATAGCCCAGTCAGCTTAAAAACAAAAAACCAACCCAAGAGCAATTTAGTGATGTTGAAGTTAGGACGATGCTTGCGGTGACTCCAAAACATGTATCTAATTTATTAATTTATATCTTATCTAATTTATTAATTTATATCTCTCTCAAATATTTACTGTAATAGGGTGACTGTAGATATGGGTGTGAGGTTGAACGTGCGGGGGGGTGGGGGGGGGGGGGGGCGAGCGGGTAAGTTTAAAGCCAGCAAGAAAAACAAAACGAAAACACACCAAGAACGACAACCCACTAATGTATCGTTCTATTCCTTCCCTTTACTTTTGATGACAACCTATTGAGAGTGTACATTAAACCAGTGTGTACTTGTAGATTTGTCTGTGGTTACTTGATTTTTCTCAGAGACCGTGTTACAATGGTGTATGGAGCTATAGTCAAGTCTAAAACTGTGTACACAACCAAAATATACTGCATAAATGTGTACACACATTGAAAAACTGCATGTACACATAATGAAAAACTGCATGTACACACAATGAAAAACTACACGTGTACACACAATGAAAAACTGCATGTACACACAATGAAAAACTGCATGTACACACAATGAAAAACTGCATGCGTACACACAATGAAAAACTGCATGTGTACACACAACCTTCCATCAAGCCAGCCAGCAACCACACGTGCTAATAGGTGCGATAATTGACGCCTGTTGTGAGTTGATAATTGCAGCAACATTGGGTGGCCCGTAGCTGCTGGTAGTGGCACAACTTCAGTTGTCAGTGGCACACATGTCAGCTGATGGTCTGTCAGTGACACATGTCAGCTGATGGTGGTGGCACAACTTCAGTTGTCAGTGACATACATGTCAGCTGGTGGTGGTGGCACAAGTTGTCAGTGGCGTACATGTCAGCTGGTGGTGGTGGCACAAGTTGTCAGTGGCGTACATGTCAGCTGGTGGTGGTGGCGGCACAACTTTAGTTGTATGCGACATGGCACAACGTCAGTTGTCAGTGGCATACATGTCAGCTGGTGGAGGTAGCACAACTTGAGTTGTCAGTGACACACTGGGTGTGTCATGACACATGTGACAACAGGCTATGTAGGCTGGACAGATTATTCCATCAGTCAGATCGACGTTTCTACCACAGGTTAACGTTATCAACTGTCAGCACAAATAAAACCAGGGAAAGGTGGCTGGACAGTGCTCACCGCAATATCGCTGTATATGCCTAGAAACATATAAACTCTACTTCCTCTGCCCAATGTACCCAGCTGTCTGGACCTGTTTATAATGTAGTACAACTGAAATAGATGTGGACTGGTCGCAGTGATAAAATACCCCACAACAAATGTTATGTCACATAGATGTAAACTGGAAGCAGTGATAAAATACCCCACAACAAATGTTATGTCACATAGATGTAAACTGGAAGCAGTGATAAAATACCCCACTACAAATGTTATGTCACATAGATGTAAACTGGAAGCAGTGATAAAATACCCCACTACAAATGTTATGTCACATAGATGCATGGCTATATTTAACCTCCGTCTATCTACACACGTAAGTCGACAAAAGCCGACGTTTATTTGCACATTCCAGCCACAGACACGCCTTCATTGCTACCGTGTACTCTAGTACTTTTTTTTGCTACCGTGTACTATAGTACTTGTTTTACAAAGTACTGTAACTTCTGTGTAACTTCTTGTTACATTGTATTGTAGCTTCTACTGTGTACTATAGTACTATTTTTACATTGCACTATACATTGTACTGTAAGTTCAGAGTACTACAAGTTCAATATATTTTATCCTTCCAATCCAACATTGAGTGTACTTTTCATGTATCCTTAAAAAGTGCATTCCCAATATAACAGTACGCAGAACCTACTTGTGTAGTACTTAAACCTAGTGTACTGTAACTAGTAGGTGTACTAAGTAGCCTACACATCTACAAGCTATAGTGCACGGCTTATCGTGTTTTGGTGGAAACAATTTCATCCAGGGCTTCATCTTTTACAATATTCGACGTTTTGTTTTAATTGTCTGTTCATGTAAGACTATTTTTGGACAATTATTTCATTAGACTACATTTTTTTTAAACAACTGCGTTAAGTTTACAAGAATGTATTCAGTTTTTAAATAATAAAATCTGTACGAATTTCGTGGAAATTAAATGACCGATAATGTTCAAAACACCATCTAGTTCAATACAGACAGAGGTATGTTAGATACAAGTGATATACTATAGATGATCACAACATCTAGTTCAATACACATCAAGTTTTGTACCGACAGGTCATGTTAGATACAGGTGATACACCATAGCCAATCACAACATCTAGTTCAATACACATCAAGTTTTCTACCGACAGGTCATGTAAGATACAGGTGACACAGCTGTATCAAACACTGAACTAGTCGAGATTATTGTCCACTTATCTGTAGTCCTATCACCACATTTTTCACGTGTAGGTAGACTGGGATATCGTCTAGTGTGGGCGATATAAGGCAAGCCTGGCGATATAAGGCAGTAGGTAGACTGGGATATCGTCTAGTGTGGGCGATATAAGGCAAGCCGGGCGATAATTGTCCCTGGCTACAGGGGTCAGAGGATCTCAAACTATGTCCGTGTTTATATGGGTCAGAGGTTCTTAAACTATTAATGTCCGTGTTTATATGGGTCAAAGGTTCTCAAACTATGTCCGTGTTTATATGGGTCAGAGGTTCTCAAACTATTAATGTCCGTGTTTATATGGGTCAAAGGTTCTCAAACTATGTCCGTGTTTATATGGGTCAGAGGTTCTCAAACTATTAATGTCCGTGTTTATATGGGTCAAAGGTTCTCAAACTATGTCCGTGTTTATATGGGTCAGAGGTTCTCAAACTATTAATGTCCGTGTGTATATGGGTCAGAGGATCTCAAACTATTTATGTCCGTGTTTATATGGGTCAGATGTTCTCAAAGGCTCCTTGGGTATATGGGTCAGAGGTTCTCAAAGGCTCCTTGGGTACAGGGGTCAGTGTTTGACCACCAACACGACCGTACGCCGGTCAGTGCCGGACTAGTCACCGGTCAGTGCCGGACTACACAACAGATTCACCGGTCAGTGCCGGACTAGACACTGGTCAGTGCCGGACTAGACACCGGTTAGTGCCGGACTACACAACAGATTCACCGGTTAGTGCCGGACTACACAACAGATTCACCGGTTAGTGCCGGACTACACAACAGATTCACCGGTTAGTGCCGGACTAGACACCGGTTAGTGCCGGACTACACAACAGATTCACCGGTTAGTGCCGGACTACACAACAGATTCACCGGTTAGTGCCGGACTAGACACTGGTCAGTGCCGGACTAGACACCGGTTAGTTCCGGACTACACAACAGATTCACCGGTTAGTGCCGGACTACACAACAGATTCACCGGTTAGTGCCGGACTAGACACTGGTCAGTGCCGGACTAGACACTGGTCAGTGCCGGACTAGACACCGGTCAGTGCCGGACTACACAACAGATTCACCGGTCACCAGTTATAGAAGCGCTGCCCTATAGAACGCCACCCGGACGCGAGATAAATAATTTGTTACGCCGTACAGCCGGGTCTGTGTTGAGTTAGCTAAACGGAAGTTGGTCTAAAAATAGCAC